TTCTATCTCACTCTAGTTAGATTGGCCAACATCGTTAATTTATACAACAAATATTGGTGGAAATGTGGGGGGAAAGGAACCCCATTGCACTGTTGGTGGGAATATAAACTAGTACAACCATTCTGGACAGCAGTCTGGTGGTTCCTCAAAAAACCAAACACAGATCTTCCACTCCTGGGCATCTACCCAGAAAATCACAAGCTAGGATACCATAAAAACACTTGCACATCCATGTTTGCTGCACTATTCACAATAACCAAGTTATGGAAACAGCCCAGATGCCCTACAATAGAGTAGATCCAAAGAAATGTGGTACCTACACCACATGGAATTTTACACAGCCATCAGAAAAAATATTATGTCATCTGCAGGGAAATTGATGGACCTAAAACAGATCATGTTAAGTGAGGTAAGCCAAGCTAAGAAACAAACAGCTTATGTTTTCTTTTATGCGGAAGCTCAATTTAAAATATACCCAGACATGATCAACTATCCAGAACTGTAGGTATTCACACACAATGAGACCAAAGGAGGATACTTTTAGGGAAGGAACACAAAGATGCAATGTGCCTCTGATCATATAAAATAACATTTATCAAAATGAACTCTAGGAAATGGAAACAAGAAATTTTTGCTTTGTTGCTTTTGCTTTCTTTTCATCTTGCCTGGTCTTTATCTTTGGGAGGGACGAAGGATGAATAAATGCAGCAGTGGTACTCACTAGAAACTATGTTGAAAATGAACTACACAACTTGTAGGTGGGGATGGGAAGGAAAAACTGGGACAAAGTGAGGGAAGGGGTGACACTGTCCAAAAAGAAATGTACTCATGCCAATAGAGACCCGGAAACACAACAAATCAAAGAAAGGTTGAACAAATGGGATTGCATGAAGTTGCAGAGCTTCTGCATGGCAAAGGACATAGCAGCTAGCAAGATCAATAGAAAGCCCACGCATTGGGAGAAGATCTTCACTAGCCATACAACAGACAAGGGTCTCATATCTAAAATATACTTGGAACTCAAAAAATTAAATCCCCCAACAACAAATCCTCAAAGAAACAACTGCCCAATAAATAAGTGGGCTAAAGACTTAAAGAGAAACTTCTCTGAAGAAGAAAGAAGGATGGCCAATAGACACATGAAGAAATGTTCAACATCCCTAGCCATAAAAGAAATGCAAATCAAAACAACATTGAGATACCACCTCACTCCAGTTAGAATGGCAAAAATCAAGAACTCTAACAACAACAGATGCTGGAGGGGATGTGGACAGAAGGGAAACTTACTTCATTGTTGGTGGGAATGTAAACTTGTTCAACCACTTTGGAAAGCAGTATGGAGGTTCCTCAAAAGACTTCACATAGAGCTCCCCTATGACCCAGCAATCCCACTTTTGGGCATTTACCCAAATGTTTACAAACAAGACCACACTAAAGCTACCAGCACAACTATGTTTATTGCAGCATTATTTACCATAGCTAAGATATGGAACCAACCCAGATGCCCCTCAGTAGATGAATGGATCAAGAAAATGTGGTATATATACACAATGGAATTCTATGCCTCCATCAGAAAGAATGACATTGCCCCATTTGTTAGGAAATGGAAAAGCTTGGAAAAAATTATATTAAGTGAAGTAAGCCAGGCCCAAAGAAACATAGGTCCCATGGTTTCCCTTATTTGCAATATCTAGTATATGTATGAGTCAAGCGGAAAAGGTGATGTTAGGGAAATGAACCCTTAGAATATGTATTTTAATGTTTTTTTCTTTCATGCACTTGTTTCTAACGCATTTATAAGATTATTTCTTTGTTGCTTTGTATGTCCCTCCCCCACAGTATTATTCCTGCTTTCACTATATTTGAGGTCAGTATAACTTGTGGAGGAGATAGGGAAAAACAAGTCGTTTAAGGATACAGGTGGACCTGTTGCAACAATGAGAAGTACAAGTTGTCATGTCGAAAACGTTGGTGGGGGGGGGAGGAGGATGGGGGGAGGAGGCTGGGAAAGGATTTGAAGGGTAAACAAAGGAGGAGGCTGCAATGTTTGATAAGAATTGTACGCATTATCCTGCCCATGTAATTGTAACCCCTCTGTACAGTATGTTCACAAAAAATAAAATAAAATGAAAAAAAAGAAAAAAGAAATGTACTCATGCCAGGAGCCCGTGTCTCAGGCCTGTAATCCTAGCTACTCAGGAGGCTGGGCTGAGATATGAGGATCGATTTTCAAAGCCAGCCAGGGCAGGAAAATCTGTGAGACTCTTATATGCAATAAACCACCAGAAAACCTGAAGTGGCCCTGTGGCTAAAGTGGTAGAGCACTTGCCTTGAACTGAAGAGCTCAGGGACAGCACCCAGGCCCAGAGTTCATGACCAACCAAAAAAAGAAGAAAAAAGAAATGTACTCATGACTTATGTAACTATAAGCTCTCTGTACAACATTTTTATAAATAAAAATTAAAATTACATAAAACAAAGAAGCCCATTACCAATCTGCTTCTCCAACAGCAATGAATCTGTGTATATGAGGATTAAAATTGGCAATTTTCTGGGAGAAAAAAAAAAATCCCACCAAAATCTACTGAATTCCCAATGTAACATTAATGTGTGGCCTTTCTGAGTCCTCCAATTCCTCTTTCATTATTGGGAGAAGTCTCAGTACATGTTTTAAACATCCTGTATTGCAAAAACTTAGCTGATTCTAGAAGAGCATTCCCCACAGACAACACACCACTGCACTGATTGCCAGCACCTCCTAACTGGTTTCAGTCTCCAGCCCCTCCCTCCCACCCTGAATTCTAATCTCTCCCTCCCAGATTCTGTCCTCCTTGTCCAGTCCTTTGTCTCACTGAAAATCTGATTACCCACTCCCCTACTTAAAAACTTTCACTGACCAAAGAACTTCTTACAGGGTGAAATCTGACCCCCTTACCTTGACACAGCAGGCTCTCCCCACCTGGTACTAACCTACCTTAGTTTTGACTTTGCCTTCCACACCCAAAGCCTACTGGCATTCTCATCATTTTTAACAAGTCAGTTCTTTCACTTCCCCCATACATACAATCTTGCAAAACCTTTTTTTTCTTTTTGCTTACAATGCACATCCTAACCTTTTAGTTGTAAATTTCACCCCATTTAGCTCAGTTCAAATATCACTTTCTCTATAAAACCTGCCCAACATCCCTGAGATACACTTAGCACATATCATCATTCACCCTTTCACAGCACTGAAGGTTGGGTTTACAGGAGTTCCCTAAATGCTGGCCACATGGTGAAGGAGTATGCCACCTTTAGGTGCAGGACTTGCCATAGAAGCCACCATCATAAAGACATTCCATTTCTCTCGTTGCAGTTCTATAATAAAATACTCATGAACTTAAAGTTCAGTCTGATGTTTATTTACAAACCTTCAGACTCATGCATTACTAAAATTCATATACTGTATACAATCTACTTTAAGTATTGGTAGATAGAACACCACCACAGAAAAAGTCTTAACCAGAAAACATTTTTACAAAGAGAAGTATTCAAATTTTAAATATTTTAAACGCCAAACTTTCGACACAGGGTCAAACTGATTTAAGTTTTAGAAGTCCAAGGTAAGAAATAAAGGAAAATTTCGTGCAGATCAGCAGTTCAGTACTGAAATCTTCTATCCTCACCTTTGAACCACCCTCAAATCGACACCCCATCCCTGACAGACAACGCAGCCATACACTGAAAAAGTCAATAGAAAATTCACAATAAATAACATTTCCAGAAGAAGGAGGAGAAAAAAAAAAAACCGAGAATGGTGATGATTTGCTCCCAGTATGCCTGGGCATCACCAATATAAATAATAACTATCAGACATATCCATAGGATGGTTCACAATCCAGAAAGAAAACGACTGATTTCCCATCCATCATGTAATTCCTAGGGATAATCCTGAGTGAAACAGAGTAGGGATTAGCTGCCCGGCGACGAGGACAACTCGCGCTGAGTGTGAACACAGATCAAAGAACGGTGGCTACGCTATGGCAGCTATAGAAATGTAGCTCTCCATTTCAAAACGAAAAGTATTCCTACTACAACCAACACGGCCCGTGAGAAACGAGCCCGCGGTCCTTACTCCATGACCAGCGTTAGCCCAGCGACTAAACGCACTGACTCTACCCCCGCCACCGCCACAATCCCAAATCCCGATAACCCCAGGCAAAAGTTCCACCTCCCGGTTTCTGCCCAGTGCCGCCCCTCCGCCCGCAGGAACTGGCCCGATCGCGGGCTCGTAGCTCGGGGCAGGCTCCGGGAACGCACCCCCAGCAGCGCGGGGAGTCCGGTCCCCCCCACCCCGCTTCCCTCCGGATGCGGCGCCAAAGGCGCGGAGGGAGCCGAACCAGACGACGCGGGGCACCAGACCCCCGCGCGGCGGGTCCGCCGCGGTGTGCCTCGCGACTGCCGGGGTCCAGCCGGGGTCCAGCGGGGTGCCAGCCCCGGATCCCTCCAACTCGCAGGCACCTCCGAGCGTCCCGACTCTGGGAACCAGCCATCCCAAAGAACCGTAAAAGCGGACACGCACCCAGGCGCTCCCCAGCGAGCACCGCGCCCGCCGGGCCACACAACAGCAACCAGAAAAGGAGGCTCCCAGGGGTCGAGCCCGCGCCCGACCCCATCTCGAAACAGCCCGCACGTTCCACTCAGCGATCCGTCGCCTCAGCCTCCGCCTCTTCGATCATTTTGCACCCTTCCCCGCCCCCCCGGGGCCCCAGGGCTGGACCGAGCATGCGCACGGCACTGACGCAACCGGGCCTTAGCTTCCAACCGCGCCTCCTCTTTGCTGACTTCGGGGGAAAATTCCAGCCCATGGCGGGAGGAGAATGGGATTTCTGAACCCACCTCTGAAACCCGCATAGCGAGGCCCCGCCCACCTCCTTGCGCCCAGTCTCCCAGCTCTTGAGCACGCTGGGGGGGGGGGGGGAGGAGGCGGGGGAAAGAGGAAAGCTCGGAGCAAGGAGCCTTTTGATTGGTTAGAACGGTGGGCGGAGCGTCTCACAGGGCGCTAGGCTACGCGGAAAGGCCTGACCTGGCTGGGCTTGGCTGGGCTTGGGTCGAGGTGCCGGCCTGGGTTTCTCCGGGAGTATGGTGCTGGGTGGCTGCCCGGTGAGTTATTTGCTTCTTTGTGGCCAGGCGGCTTTGTTGCTGGGGAATCTGCTGCTGCTGCATTGTGTCTCCCGGAGCCACTCCTACAATGCCACTGCCGAGCTGGAGCTCACATCCGCTGCCCACCAGGAGGGTCCCGCTGGGGCGCCCAGCTGGGAATATGGCGACCCCCACTCTCCAGTCATCCTCTGCTCCTACCTGTAAGCTATCCAGTCGTCGAGGCGGGCCGAGGGGGAGACTGGACCAGGGCTGTGTGGCTGATGTGGAAAGGAGGGGGAGGGGTGAGGCTCCTCCCTTTTCATAGACCATTGCCACCTGAACACCGGATTGGGTGATCATGACAGGACCCCCTTATCCAGGGATAACCTCGTGTGTGAGTGTCAGATCTTTGGGATCCCGAAGGAATGACACCGTCTCTGGAAAAAGAAGCATTCTAGGTTGAGCCTTTATTTCTTCTGCATCCTTTTGCTAAATGATAATCCACCGGTACCAAGAAACAAATGGAGAAATGACTTCTCTGTGTCCCCAGGCACTTTAAAAAAAAAAAATCAGTATCCTCACTGTTACAGACCAGGCCTTTTTTAACACTTCTTTTTGATCAAATGACAAAAGGCATTTGAGAAATACAAAAAGAACTGAGTTGCATTTGACTTAAATGTCTCCCCATAAGCTTGTATTGTTTGCCTAGCAGAAGGAGAAGAAGCCATTTAGTACATTACATAGAAACAGAACTAAAACACCTCCAACAAAAGGGTCACTAGGGTGACTCCTTGTGCTTTACCACCACCCTTGGTTTGGAATGGGGCTTGCAGGGTGGAATACACACCCAGAAAACTTAGCACGAAATGTCCCTTGCCTAGTTTGATTATGTACAAGGATGCTGGTGATCACAATCTTACTGTGATTTACAGACCAGACGAATTTATAAAATGTGACGAGCCAGTGGACCATGTTGGAAATACAACCGCATCCCAGGAACTCGGTTATGGTTGTCTCAAGGTAAGTGTTTGTTGCACAAGCAAACTTTTCCATAGAGAAGTAGGACTGGCTGGGTGTTGTTTCAAAAAAAAAAAAGTGAGAATGTACATTTTAGTAGAAATCCATCCAAATAACTGTTACAGAAATCTCCAGCATGATCAAGGACAGTGGCTGTACAACACATTTGATCTCCACAGGAAGGAGCAATTTCTATCCCAAAACCATCCAGGTTCGAACATCAATCCATCTTTGGTTCCTTTGGCCTATTGAAATGAACAGATTTGAAGTTAAATTGTCACCTATTCTTTGAACCATGCCCTTTCCTGAAAGAACAAAAGAAAAGCTATGTGCTTTCAAAATCTGATGATAAATTAGGAAGTTTCACACACATTTGGGACAAAGATTCTTACGTTGAGGACCTTTTATTTGTCACTTGTTTTATTTTTCCCATTCACCTTGGAATGGGAAAGTCATTCAGATCTATTAATTTTTCTTAAAGCTGGGTGTATACTTTCCACTAAGCTTTTAGTAACACAAATTTTATTTTATCTTCCATTACTAAGTGATAGTACAAAATGTGTAGATGTCAAGAGAATTATGAGGAAACATTTTTGGTACTAAATCAGATACAGAAATAAACTTGACAGTAGCAAGAACAAAAAAAATAACTCTTAGCCCAGCACAGTGTCTTATGCTTGTAGTCACCGGAACTCAATAGGGAGGGATTGAGAGGACCAAGGTTCAAGGGCAGCCCATGCAAAAAAGTTAACAAGACCTCCCATCTCAAGCAATAAAGTAGTCATGGTGACATGCCTCCCTGATCTTAGCTACATAAGTAGAAGGACTATCAAAGGCCAACTGGGACAAAAAACAGAGATCCTACCTGAATGAAATCATATATAGAGAAATACTTTAAATACATTGAAATGTTATTGGTAATTACTTATAAAAGCTTGATTAGCATTATAGAGACATGTTACTTTTGCTGAGTTAATGAAAAAACTTCAGTTTTCCCTGCAAGGTCCTCAAACTTGCCCTTGTACGTAAGTCCTAAAATAGAACAGTTCCCAGGAAGTATGAGAAAGTTACATCATTATTTGCCAGTACTCCCCTTGGAGGACCCAAAAATAGTAATAAGACACAAAGTGCCAGTACGACATGTAAGAGCCGAGCACTACTGGCTCACGCTAAGCTACTCAGAAGTCTGAGATCCAGAGGATCGAGCTTTATAACAAGCCCAAAAAACAAAAGTCTGCCGGGTATCAGTGGCTAAGGCTTATAATCTAGCTAACTCAGAAGGCTAATATCTGAGGGTTATGATTCAAGGCCATCCTGGGCAGGAAAGTCCATGAGACTCTTATCTCCAATTAACCAACAAAAAGCCAGAAATAAGAGCTGTGGTTCAAGTGGTAGCTAGCCTTGAGCAAAAAAAAAAAAAAAAACGCAAGCCCTAGGACCAGCAGCAAAAAACAAAATGCTTGTGAGACTCCATCTTCAAAATTACTAGCCAAAAAGTAAAAAATAGAGAACATGTTTGTTTTGGGTTTTGGGTTTTTTTTGGGGGGGGGGGGAGGGCCCCTCCGGTCGTGGGGCCTGAACTCTGGGCCTGGGCACTGTCCCTCAGCTCTTCAGCTCAAGGCTAGCACTCTACCACTTGAGCCACAGCGCCACTTCTGGCTTTTTTCTTTTTGCTTATGTGGTGCTGAGGAATCGAACCCAGGGCCTCAGACATGCAAGGCAAGTGCTCTACCACTGAGCCACCTTCCCAGCCCGAAAACATGTTTTGTTAGGGGAGAGGGAGGTTGTCAGGAAGAGGAGGCACATGAAGGAAGAAGGGTGAGCAAATATATTCATGATATTCAATGTACATTAATGAAGTTGTATATTGTATAAAAATGAACTAAATAACTTGAGGGTAGGGATGGGATGGGGAGAAGAATGGAAGGAGTAACATTGATCATGATGCATTGTACTCATAATCTGATATATAGAATTGAAACCTCTTGTACAACTATTTAAAATTAATTAATTAGTTAATTAATTAATATAGCAAGGCTGGAGGCTTAGTTCAAGTGATAGAGCAAACTGAGCAAGTCCTGAGTTTAAGCCCCACTAGCACCAAAAAAACAAAAACAAAAAGGAAGAAAGAAAGAAAAAGAATTGTATAGTTGTAGTTTCTGTGTTAGCATTCAGTTCAGCAAAGGATGAGAGTCCCAGATCTGAATTATTTTGCTGGAATTTAAAAACACATACTAGGGATAGACTATAGGTATCTAAGGATCATCCATTCATGACCTAAATAAAGTCCTAATTCAAATGACATTCTGAACTATTTTTCTAGAATATTGATTCACATTAACAGATATAAAACAGACCTCAGATACACATTGGCCTTCTACATACCCTTTCTCAAATGCCTCTTTATGTTCTTTTTTCTCTAAGAAAGTTACAGCATTGTGACCAACTCTTCTAAATGACATTAAACTAAATTATGGTTATTTTTGATATGCATTGAAGAAGCCAATCACTGAGAAAAAATTATTTAAAAACATGTACATTTTGGGGGCTAGGAAGTTGGCTCAGTGGTAGAGCACTTGCCTTGCGTGTCTGAGGCCCTGGGTTCGATTCCTCAGCACCACATAAGCAAAAAGAAAAAAGCTGGAAGTGGTGCTGTGTCTCAAGTGGTAGAGTGCTAACCTTGAGCTGAAGAGCTGAGGGACAGCGCCCAGGCCCAGAGTTCAGGCCCCACGACCGGAACCAAAAAAACAAAAAAAAACAAAAACAAAATGTACATTTTGAATGGACTGATCTAAAATCATTTGAAATACTTCACTGAATCCCATTCTTTTTATGGTTGGGGGAAGAGGCCTGGGCACTGTCCCTTAGCTTTTTCACTCAAGACTGGTGCTGTACCTGCCACAGCTGCACTTCCAACTTATTGATGGTTAATTAGAGATAAAAGTCTCATAGACGTTCCTGGCCAGGCTGACTTTGAATTGGGATTCTCAGATCAGCCTCCTGAGTAGCTGGGATTATAGGTAAGAGCCATCAGTACATGGCAATCCCATGCTTTTGAGCATAGCTTCACCCCAATTATTCCTTAGAATTATTAGAATACTGAGGCAAAGTATACTTCCGTGTTGTGTGTGCTTTGGTGAGTTTGTTTGGTTTTGGTGATTATCCCACAGTTCGGTGGTCAGGCCTACAGTGATGTGGAACACACCTCTGTCCAGTGTCGGGCCCTAGATGGAATTGAGTGTGCCAGTCCTAGGACCTTTCTCCGGGAAAATAAGCCCTGTATAAAGTAAGTGTTACCTTTCTAGCTGGTGGTGGTGACAATAGTGTTGAATGAAACCTAACATCTCAAACATACTAAGCATGTGTTCTCACAATGAGCTACACTCCTGGCCCAAAGTTAGTGCCACTTTGGAAGGGATAGCTGATACTTGAACCGAGATCTATTTCTTGTCATTTTTTGTTTTTTTTTTCTTTTTAAATATAAAAGAGGAATGTGGGAATGTGATAAACTGGTGTCTGCAAACCTGTAATCCCAGCATTCAGAAAGATTGCAAGTTTGAAGCCAGCCTGGGTTATATAGCAAGAACTTGTCTCAAAAAAGGAGGAAGGGTTGCCGGGCGCTGGTGGCTCACGCCTGTAATCCTAGCTACTCAGGAGGCTGAGATCTGAGGATCGCGGTTCAAAGCCAGCCCGGGCAGGAAAGACCTTGAGACTCCTATCTCCAATAAACCACCAGAAAACCGGAAGTGGCGCTGTAGCTCAAGTGGTAGAGCGCTCGCCTTGAGCTGAAGAGCTGAGGGACAGCGCCCAGGCCCAGAGTTCAAGACTCACGACTGACAAAAAAAAAAAAAAAAAGGAGGAAGGGGAAGGGAAGGGGATGAGGAAAAGTATGGAGAGGAGGAAGAGCTGCAGCAGCAAGCTAGGCCCCGATTGCTCACACCTGTAATCCTAGCTATTCAGGAGGCTGGGATCTGAGGATTTCAGTTCGAAAGCAGCCCAGGCAGGAAAGTCCATGAGATTCTATCTCCAGTTCATCACAGAAAAAGCCAGACGTGGTGCTGTAGCTCAAGTGGTAGAGCGCTAGCTTTGAGCAAAAGGATGTTAGTAACAATGACCAGGCCCAGAGTTCAAGACCCAGGACCAGAAAAACAAAAGCATAAGATGGTGAATGTGACTGCTCCTATGCATACCCATTGATAAGAGGCAGTGTTTGCAATGAAGGACATGGATTTGAGCCCACAGTCCTTAATGTTTTCCCCTACCCCAACTAACAGAATGTCTCCCACTGTCTATCCCCTCATTCTGAAAAGAGTTGTACCAGAAACTAGCCCCAAGACTCCAGATAGGCATAAATCTGGTGCAACTTGTCTTAATAGTCCAAGAATAAAGATTTTCCTGTGAAAACTGCAGACTCCTCACTGTGAATACCAGTTGATTTGAAGTTGAAGGGTTAAGATCCCTTCTGGGAAATTAGCTGGAAGGCACATCAGCTGAACAAGTCTACATCTGTGTTTAGAAATGAGATGAGCCACTAGGTTAAATGTTTTCACCTTGTGTAAGGACAGAAACCCCAGGAAATCCTGACTTTTAAAAAGTTGCAAGGCAGGCAGGGTGCATGGAGATCAGGTGCACATTAAGGAAAGACTGTACTTCCGCAGAAGAGGAAGCCAGGTGAGCCTCAGCAGAAGAGCCTGCTTAAGTAGGAAGGGATGGGAGCCCAGTTCCCCCTCCCATGACTTCTAGTTTGCAGATGTGTTTGTCCAGTCCAACTCTGCAGAAGCCAATGTTTATTCTTTGAAATCCTTCATATCTTAGCAAGTACTCTTTTGAGACTCAAGACCAACTAAAGATTGGTAGGGAAGATAAGAAAGAGTATATTACAGAAAAAGTTTCTTATTATTTTTTATATTATGATGCTTGACATATTTTTAAAAAATCCAGCCAGGTACCCATGACTCAAGTCTGTAATTCTAGCTACTAAGGCTAAGATCTGAGGAGTGTAGTTTGAAGCTAGCTCAAGCAGGAATGTCTATAAGATTCTTATGTCAGGGCTGGGAAGGTGGCTCAGTGGTAGAGCGCTTGCCTTGCATGCATGAGGCTCTGGATTCTATTCCTCAGCACCACATAAGCAGAAAATGCCGGAAGTGGCACTGTGGCTCAAGTGGTAGAGCGCTAGCCTTAAGCTGAAGAGTTCAGGGACAGCACCCAGGCCCAGAGTTCTGGCCCTATGACTGGCAAAAAATAGGAAAAGATTCTTATGTCCAATTAACCAGCAAAAAGCCATAAGTCAAGCTGTGGCTCAAGTGGTAGAGCACAAAAGCTCAGGGATAGCACATAGGCCTTGAGTTCCAACCCCAGAACCTGCATCAAAACAAGAAAAAAAAAAAAAAAACTACTTGGGAAGACTGAATTTCTAATTCCCAAGACTGGTCAGATAACAAAGGCTTAGCCAAGAGACAGTCCTTGACAGATACATTAACCAATCTAGAGCCATGCTTCCTTTAATTGGTCTGTATTCTATTCCTGAGCCTTAATCATCCCAGGGCCAGGCCAGTAGGACCTCCTCTACTGCCTAGAACTTGCTGAAATTATTCAAATTACCCAATCCTAAACTGTTCCCCCCACCCTGCCTTGATTTGACAGTTCTGCAGAGATTCCAATAGAGGGAATGATCTAAACCTTTCCCTTGCTCCTATCTTAGAACCATTGTGGTTTCCCTCCCATGAGTCCCTTCAGAGTAGTTCATAAATGGGTTTTTTGTGAGTCTCTTTGTTCTCTCCCCTGGCAGCCCCACCTGACAAATCCTATCAAAAAGAATATGAAACAGAGGATAAGAGGCCATAATGTTAAATTCATTAATCTTCAAGTGCTTCATTTATTTGGCAAAACATCTTCCTATTCCTCCCTGTTTGTTCAGGTATACCGGCCACTACTTCATTACCACTTTACTCTACTCCTTCTTCCTGGGATGTTTCGGCGTGGATCGCTTCTGTTTGGGACACACTGGTACAGCAGTCGGCAAACTGCTGACACTTGGAGGACTTGGGATCTGGTGGTTTGTGGATCTTATTTTGCTCATCACTGGAGGGCTGATGCCAAGTGATGGCAGCAATTGGTGCACTATTTACTGAGAATCGCTGCTCTTATGGCCCAGGGGAGCGAGTGTGGGACCGAAGGAACTATTCTCAGCTCTGATGTCAGTCAGACCTGAAGATTTCCAGCCCTCTTTGGAGGAAATGGATGTGAAGAAAGATTCTTTGGACTTCAGATTTTCAACCCAGATCCTCCCTTGCAGACTAGAAATGATGAGCAAACAGTGCTGTGGGACTCTGCATACTTTCCTCATGTACACAATATAAAATATAGTGCTAACTCGTAAGTTACAGATGGGTTTCCATGCTCTTTGTGTCTGTACAACACTTTAGTCCCATGGAGGAGATGGACCCAATAGGAGGCAGACCCAATGAGAGGAATGAAATGAGTATTTTAATCCATGTGTCTTTTGTCACCTGGAGTCTTCATGCACAACAGATCTGGAGCTGAACCAGTGAAAATCTTCAGCAGACATAAAAATGGCTGTGGATTTTAATACACACCATTTTTGAACTTCAATTCCAGAATAAATCTTGCCAACCTGGAGTGCTTGCTGTATGAGTATTTTCAGTAGACAGAATGAAACTGAATTTTTTGGTGCTTTATTTTTGGCTGAAAGCTAAACATGGGATATAACCTACTAGTAAACTCATCTTCTACCATTATTGTAGTCCAGAGACAGTATATGCAATGCAGCAATTTCTTCATTTATGTTCCAAAGCCAACAGTATCAAACATGTGAGTAGAGCTGCCCCTCTTTGGTAAAGTTGTCCTATGTAAAACTTTAGTTAGCCGGACACTGGTTGGCTCTTGCCTGTAATACTAGCTACTGATGTTGTAAGGCAACTCAGTCATGAGAACCCGGGAAGCCACCACTTCAGAGGCCTAATTATAAGTCTTTATTGGAGAGCCAGAGGACTGTTGCTAGACTCTTGTATTAAAGACTAGCAGCCCGAATGCAGCTAGCACAAAGCTTATATAGGCCAAAACCACACAAAGTGTGTGGAATCAAACCCAACAAAAGTGTTATACATGAACAAAGCAAAACAGATGAAGACACTTAAACCTAATAGATAAACAAACCATCTAAGGAAACAATCAGGAAATCAAGGGCTAATTATCTAGGAGAAGCTAGACCCAGTCTCCTTACTTCACTAAGAGCCTGAGATCTGAGGATTGCTGTTCAAAACCAGCCCAGGTAGGAAAGTCTATGAGCCCCTTATCTCCAGTTAACCACCAAAAAGCCAGAAATGGAGCTGTGGTTCAAGTAGTAGAGTGCTAGCCTTGAGCACAAAAGCTCAAGGACAGCACCCAGGCATGAGTTCAAGCCCCAGGACAAATACACATACACACACATACACTTTTAACCAGCCCAAGTTCTAGGCCGATAAAGATTTCTTACAGGTAATTATAAAATTCTTCTTCCCAACTAAATGAGATAACAATGAGGAACCCCATGCTCTGAGAAAGAAAAGCACACTCCTGCTTCAAGAATATCAAATAGAGGGTAGAATTGGAATGTGATTTTAGGAAGCAACAAGAAACAACACATTATCCCTATAAAGCATGATAGTAAATGTTGTTACATTGGCACAGACATTGAAAACAGATACAATTCATCTTCTGCATTCCCAAGTCACTTGGAATAAAACAAACTATCTAGTGTTTGTTTGGTACTATGAGGGTTTGGGCTTAGGACCTTGTACTTGATAGGAAGGCTCTGTACCACTTGAGCCATGCCTCCAGCCCCTGGAAATTATAATTATAACCAATTATAATTGGTTTTCCAAATTGAGTTTCTATCCTTTGTGATCTAATTTCAGAAAAGCTGCTAAGCATGAAATAAAAAATGGACTTTGTGGGCAAGACTATCCCAGAGCCTGTTTTTCAGAGTAATTTACCTATTAAAACAAGGTAAAATGCCTCCAAGCATACTCTTGTATAACACTGACTTAAAGATGAAAAATCACAGACAAAATGACTCTCTGGAAATGTTCTATCATTCTGTATCAGTTTTCCTAAAAGGTTCTGCTTTATCATCCTTAATATAATCACTGTTTTTATACTAGTAGAGGGAACAATTTTTGTATAAAAATTTTAAACAAGCCAGGCTTCACTGACTCACACCTGTTATCCTAGCTGCTCAGAAGCCTGAGATCTGAGGATCACACTTTGAAGCCAGCCTGGGCTGAAAAGTCCATGAGACTCCACCTCCAACCAGCAAAAAAAATGAACTGTATGTATAGCTCAAATAGTAGTGCACCAGCCATGAACTTGAAGCCCTGAGTTCAAGACCCAATACTAAAAACAAAATTTTTAAAAATTCTATTGTTATGTTTTTAAAATTCTCCAGATGCCAGTAACTTACATTTATATTCCTAGCTACTTAGAAGGCTGAGCTCAGGATTACCATTCAAAGCCAGCCTATGCAGGAAAGTGCCAGAAGAGGAGGTATGTCTCAGGGACAGTTCAAGCCTCAGGATACACACACACACACACACACACACACACACACACACACACACACACACACACACACACACACACACACGAAGACACTAGACTTTCCTTAGAAAGTTAGTACAGAACTTAAGGGCATCAAGGATGCCATATTAAAAAAACAACAACAACTCATTTTTGGGCTGATTATGTAACTCATGGTTCAACAGTTGCCTAGCATGTAATGGGCCCTGGGTCATTTCAAGGATGTTTGGAAAATAGAAATTAAAAATATTACTTTCAACCATGAGGTCTGTCATTTAAAAATAAAATTTCCCTATGAGTATTTACAAGTCTCATTCAGTTTGGTGGTTGTTGTTATTGTTGTTGTTGTTGTTGGCAATACCAGGATTTGAATTCAGGGCCCAGAGCTTGGCTCTACCATTTGAGCCATGCTCCCAGTTCTTTTTGCTTTAGTTATTTTTTTTTTGGTCTAGTCGTGGGGCCTGAACTCTGGGCCTGGGCACTGTCCCTCAGCTCTTCAGCTCAAGGCTAGCACTCTACCACTTGAGCCACAGCGCCACTTCCGGCTTTTTTCTTTTTGCTTATGTGGTGCTGAGGAATCGAACTCAGGGCCTTGAGCATGCAAGGCAAGCGCTCTACCACTGAGCCACCTTCCCAGCCCCCGCTTTAGTTATTTTTTTAGGTAAGGTCTTGTCGGGCTTTTTTTCCATGTAAGTCTTTAACTTCAATCCTAGACCAATACCTCCCTAATAGCTGGGATTATAAGCACATACCACCATGCCGAGCTTGTGCTTTGACCAGGCTGGCCTTCAATCTTTTCTCTGCCTCTCAAGTAGCTGATGTTACAGGTATGGGCCACTGGGCCTGGCCAAAAACAATTTTTTTTCTAAAAGAAAAACAACTTTGACAGCTCCAAGATTTGAAATCATGAATACTTCCAGGAAGAGCTTGGGTCTATAAATTACTCAAACTATTTTAGAGAATAAGCTCATTTCTCAGAAACACTGGGAAACAAAGCTACTTCTGCTGCAGTGATCATTTGAGAGTCACCAGTAATACTCTTATATGACAGTCTGCCACTGCCAGTTCCAACCTGACTTCTAAATAGGGGCCCTCCTCTGTCCACAAGCCTTAGCCAAACAGCCTCAGGAAGGAGCGAGCAAAGGAATATTATTAAAATTTTTAATACTTGTATACCCTGGGCTCAGGTCGTTTCTTAATATTTGGTAGATAAGTCTTTTTGTACATGTGAGCAATCCATGGCTATCAAAGAGGTTTAGATAAAGTACCCCCTGTCAGTATTTAATTAGACAGCTGAGCTGGGTGCCAACGGCTTATGCCTGTAATCCTAGCTACTCAGGAGGCTGAGATCTGAGGATCACAGTTCAAAGCCAGCCAGGCCAGGAAAAACTGTGAGACTCTAATTTCCAATAAACTTCTCAAAAAGCCAGAAGTGGCACTCTGGCTCGAGTGCTAGCCTTGAGTACAAAGAGGCTCAGGGAGGCTCAGGTACAGTGCCCAGGTCCTCTGTTCAAACCCCAGGAAAAAAAATTAGACAGCCAAGCACTCACACTTGTAATCCTACCTATTCAGGCAGAGATCCAAGGATTTGGTTCAAAGCAAGAAACTTCGTAAGACATATCTCTAATTAACCAGCAAAATCCAAGAAGTAGAGTTGTGGCTCAAGTGTTAAGAGTGTAAGATGATAGCCTTGAAAAAAAAAAAAACTAAGGGAGAGCACCCAGGTCCTGAGTTCAAGCCCCAGTATCTACACACACACACACACACACACACACACACACACACACACACTCACACACTTAATTAGAAATTGCCTATTTGTCAGTTGTTCCCTATCTTTAAATAAAATCTAATCAGCTCCAAACCTCCCTAGGACTTCTTTGACTTGGATTGTTTGTAGCAGAATGGCATTCCCAGACTAAAGTTCTCTGACTGTGCCTTTGTGTGTGTGTGTGTGTGTGTGTGTGTGTGTGTGTGTTTAAGGTATTCATTTTTCTTTATAACAGAGATCCTAAAGCCCTGCCACCATCTCTAGCACATCTTCAATACAAACCAGGTAACAGAACTTTGGTTTTGTTAGACAGTTTCTCTTTAAGACATTTAATTGATGATTTCAGGTGTGACTCTCAGGAACAGGGTCTGACCTCCCCGACGTCGCACTATGAAGGAGAGGGTGTCATTGTCCTTTACAGCCTCGATGACATCAGCTGTGGTCCTAACAGGCTGCCCATTTATGCTGATAATTACATCGTGGTCTCTCAACCCTGAGCTGGAGAGGAGAAATAAAGACCATGAAACCATAAGGAAAGTTTTCATTTTCCCCAGCTAGAAAGCAGTGTATATCTCTCTTGTGGCCCTGTTCTGCTGGCATTAGAGATACACATCAAGAAACTAGAAATAGCCTTAATCCTTCCAAATATGAGGTCTGTTCTCAGATATGCTTCCAAATCACCTACAGGACACCGGTCCTAACCACCATCATAAACTTAATTTCCTATCAGACTCTGTAAGTTTATTCCTCTTGTTTGATGGATCTGATTTGGAATGGAGAGTTTAGGTTCTGGTTTCTGTTCATCTCTGACCTCTATAAACGTCAAGTACATTCCATCTCTCCATCAGAAGGACAAAACCAACTCTATATTTTTTTGTATTTTTTTACATTTTTATTATCTTTAAGTAGTTGGGCAAAGAAGTTCCCATTCTATAAAACAGTCTATGAATACAAAGTGTCTGACAACATTGTCACCCATCACTCCCAACGCTGTATTTTTCAATGGCACTTGTTCCCTGCTCAGTTTGATTGGGACAGCCCATAGTTTAAGGACCTGGAGAATATGTTGAGCTGCCTTATAGACATTCTGCTTCCAGGACATCAAAAGCTAGTCAGTACTCCAAGACAAAATTTAAAGCTCACAGTGTAGCTTCTTTTTGCCAAAATTGTGATTATACCTAGGCTCTTATCATTTGCTTCATATAGAATATTTATTCTGAACACAAAAGCTAGCTCTGAAAACTAAACGACACAAATATAGTTCCAGGCTAATGGTTTTGTCTTAAAGTGA